TAATGAAATTTTAATGAAACTGTTTCATGTATTTCTCTAAAATTAAATTAATGAAGATGATAATATACATGATTAACACCCTCCACAATAAAAATGGTTAATCAACATCTCATAATTACAAAAAATGAACAAAATAAAAAATTATGATTGGTTGAATGAGGTTTTCACGGTTTTTTCACATTGAGTGATTTTTATTTGAACATCCACCTATATATATATATATAGGTGGAGGTTCAAACGAGAACCCCTGTGATTTACGAGAACGCGAGAACAATCCAATAACCTCAAACTTTTTTAATTAATAAATTAACTTATATTAAATATAAATAAATTAATAAGGGCATTAATGTAATTAATAATTATCTTTTTTTTTTCTTGCACGTTCATTTCCACTATCTTCTCTTCCCTTGTGATAATTGTGTGATTGTGTAACCATAACCTATCGAAACAATGATCAATCAAGTGTAACCATAACCTATCGAATCGTTGTGATAAATGTGTGATTGTCTATCGTTGTGATAAATGTGTGATTGTCTAACCCTAACCGATCGAAACCATGATCAAATTGAGTGCGCAAGTGATGTTATAATAGTGATATCACATGATTATCACACCCATATCACTTCAAATCGTTTAGTGGATTTCACCCATAATCGTTGTGATAAATGTGTGATCATCTAATTCTAACCTATCAAAACCATGAGTAATCGTTGTGATAAATGTGTGATTGTCTAATCCTAACTGATCGAAACCATAATCAAATCGAATGCGCTGTTATGATAGTGATATCACATGATTATCATACCCATATCACACCAAATCGACAGTCGATTTCCTAAGTTAACCCTAGCCAAACGGAATCCTTATGATAATTGTGTGATAATCACATGACTATCACACCCATATCACACCCAAATTACACCAAATCACGTTGAAATAAGCGATAACCATAATAGCCTATTATGTTTTCCAAATTATGGTGTGATCGTGTTTTTAAAATTTTATTACTTTGAATTCCAATAATACCCTTTTGCCTCTCAATTTTTTTTGAATTGTTTTAATTTCATTTTAATTTAAAAAATCTTTTAATTTTTACTGTTATCACAATATGAGGTTAATAGATTGTTCTCACGTTTTCGCAAATCACAGAGGTTTTCGTTTGAACCATTCCCTATATATATATATATATATATATATATTATAATATTCTTGAAATCTGGTCCAAAATATTACATGTCAACGAAATATATTTATCGTTACAATTATAACAGGACCACACAGGTTTAATAACTTGTTGAAAACAGATAAATCCTAGGAACATGTCAACAATTCGTTGTCTTGCTTTTAATTGTATCAATAACTGATATATTAAATATGATCAACCAACGACATATGATGTAATGTTTTTTTTAAAAAGCTGATTGTAACTTGTAACCACCCGATTAACCCATCTGATCCCTTTCTTTATTTGATTAGTTGTTTATATATACACAATTCATCCATCGATCATAAAATATAACACATCAATTCAACTCATTTTAGTCCCCTACTCACACACCAAAACACACACACACACACAACAAAGTCACTTACAAACTTCAAACTTTGGCCACAAATTCAACCATTTGATATCATGGCTGCAAATATGATCCATTATCTATGCCCAGTTGAACCTGACTTTATCAAACCTAGCTGACCAATATTCGACGAGACTTTTGGGTGGGTTGAAAGACCATTGTTGTAGCTAGTATCGTTCATGCTAAAGTCACAAAGACGTTTAGTAGCATGCCCTTATGTATTGTAGTTTGATTTTGTGCTAATGTGGCAAATGGAGAGATTATATGAGAACGCTAATTAGTATGGGTTCGCGGGAGATAAGCAGTTGTTTAATTTACAAAATGTGATGTTGTTATTCATGGTTTGGGGACGTATGGATTCTTTCGAAACTTTTTGTGGAAGGAAAATAGTCCATTAAGTATTGTAGACTAAGGTGGTGTGAAGTTTTGGAGAACTGTCCTTCGCGAATGACCTTTCGTGAAACGAAATTTGTTTTCAGGGGTCAAATTGGAAAATTTTCTAAAATATAAGGACCGAAACATGACACGATAGCTCCACACGTAACTTTTATACACCACAATTATTTTAATATTGAAAATTGAAAATTAAAAATATGTATTTATTGTTGAAAATGAAAACACACAAATAGTAATAAAAAAAACATAAATTATATTTGACGGACTGTCGCAAAACGTCATGAATAAAGTCACGAAGGCCAAATTTCGTTGCAAAATCAATAAGGCATCGGAAAAAAATTGACTTGTCGTTATAACATTACGAATGTATTAAATCAGAACTGAAAAGGGACCATGAGGGAGGAAGTTAAATTGAATTGAGAGTTTTTTTTATTAGGACAAAATGCAAAAAATAACAATCTACTTTCATAAATTTCTTTATTATAGCATTGTACTTTCAGTTTTTATTATTGCAGCAACGTACTTTCAAACTATTTTTTTTAGGATATTGTACTTTCAAAAATTTACCCATTATAGTATTGAGTAACTTTTTGATTTAAATTTACTCATACCAAGTTTCCATGCCACCTCATTGTCTACATACTTCATTGTCCACGTAGGCTGTCCACATGTACTATAGTCCTATAGTGATGTGATTTTCTTATTACAACATTGTACTTTCAAAATTATTTTATTATAACATCTACTAGTTCTTATTAAACAATGTATTTTTAATTTTAATATGTATATATTTTACATGTTGTTTAATAAATATATTAAAAGAATTAAAAAGAATTCTAA